GCACACCCATGAAACCATCACACTGTGGAGATAATGAACACCTCCCCATCGTCCCCTGGAAGTTTCCTCCTGCCCCTTTGGGACTCCACCCACTCCCCCCTCCAGCCCCTACAACCACACCACTGTGAATTAGTCTGCATTTTCTAGACTTTTCTACCGAGAATCATAGAGTATGTTCTCTTTGGTGTCTGGCTTTGTCCACGCAGCGTAGCTATTTTGAATCATCCAAGCCATTGTTTCTGTCAGAGTTTCATTCTTTCTACTGCTGAGTCGTGGACCATGGAGTGGGTGGACCCTTGTGTTTACCGACTGACCTGTTGAAGGACATTTGGGTTGTTTCCACGTTTTGGCAATGGGAAAGGAATCTGCAATGAGCAGTTGCATCCAGGTCTTTGTGTGGATGTGTGTCTTTGTGTCTCTTGGGTGGATGACTGGGGTGGACTGGCTGCTGGCTGACTTGTAGGGGAGGCTTATGTTTAACTGTAGAAGAAACTGCCAAACGCTTTTATTATTGTTGAGGTGTAATTGATGTGTAACATGTTAGTTTCAGGTGCACCGCCAAAGTCTTTTCCAAAGTCCTTTCCAAAGTCCTTGTGTCCGTTTGTGCTCCCACCAGCGAGGTATGAAGAGTCCCTGTTGCATTTGGATGTTTTGCTGTTTTAAAAAAGGGCACAGGGCTTCCCTGGTGGCGCAGTGGTTGGGAGTCCGCCTGCCGATGCAGGGGGGACACGGGTTCGTGCCCCGGACCGGGAAGATCCCACATGCCGCGGAGCGGCTGGGCCCGTGAGCCATGGCTGCGGAGCCTGCGCGTCCGGAGCCTGCGCGTCTGGAGCCTGTGCTCCGCAACGGGAGAGGCCACAACAGTGAGAGGCCCACGTACCACAAAAAAAACCCAAAAAACAAACAAAAAAAAAGGGCACAGATGCTATTAATTTCCCATGGCTGTGTGACAAATGACCACAAGCTGGGTGGCTTAAAGCAACAGGGGTTTATCCTCTTCCAGTTCTGGAGACCATATGTCTGAGATCAAGGTGTCACAGGGCTGTGGTCCCTCTGGAGGCTCCAAGGGAGCGTCCTTTCTGCCTCTTCCAGCTTCTGGCCCCTGCCACCCCGCCCCCCACCCCACCCTGGCATCCCTTGGCTTTTGGCTGCATCCCTCCAGCCTGTTGTCACGTGGCTTCTCGTCTTCTGTCTCTTATAAGGACACTTGTCATTGATTTGGGGGTCACCCTAATCCAGGATGATCTTGAGATCCTTAACTTGATTACATCTGCAAAGACCCTTTTTCAAAATAGGGTGCCCTTCACAGGTCAGGATGTGGGCCTTTCTTTTGTGGCTCCCATCACCCTGCTGCAGCCTGGCACCATCTATCTCAGTCAGGCATGTCCCTTACCCCCCTGGCCTGTGGGTGTCAGGGCTGTTCCAGGACCGGGCTCTGCGCGTTCCCTGTCAGCCCTGGAGGGCCCGGTGGGCATCCAGCAGATGGGGAGCCGCAGGCTTTGAAAGGCTTGGACTCGGGAACACACCTGCAACACCACTGGCACTGTCAGCCCACACACACATCCACCGCCCCAGTTTCCCTGTGCCCAACCCCCTGCCACCAGATTTCTCTGACCTGAGTCAAGCAGATGCTCCTTCAAGAAATTTCCATGGAGCCAACCCCTGCTGGGACAGAGAGGCGGCGCCTCCCCGGATAAGGATTTTGGCACCTTTGAGATATTTTTAGACACCTTTATTGAGATATAATCCACACACCATACAATTCACCCATTCAATGTGCATCATTCAGTGGGTTTTGGTGTATTACATTATTTATTTTAAAATATTTATTTATTTGGCCGCGCCAGGTCTTAGTTGAGGCATGCAGGATCTAGTTCCCTAACCAGGGATAGAACCTGGGCCCCCTGCATTGGGATCCAATAAAGATGTTAAAATAAATACATACATACATACTAACTCAGGGAGTGGCCTTCCGCCAGGAGCCAGTCAGCTTCCACATCCCGGGAGCCTTTATTCCAAGTGCAGGTCCCTGGCTTTGCCCGAGGAACTTTGCTTCTAGAACAAAGAATCACCGTGGCCACCTTTCCCAGTGTCTGCGCCCTTGCTCACCACCACCCCATCAAACCCCGGTTGAGGGCTGAACTGTGTCCTCCCAAGAGGACATGAGTTCAAGTCTTGTCTGCTACAGCCTGTGAACGGGACCTTATTTGGAAATAAGGTCTTTGCAGATGTGATTGGTTAAGATGAGGTCATGCTAGAGATTTTGCGGCCCTAAGGCAATGATAGGTGTGTGTGTAGGAGGGACACCTGGACACAAGACACACAGGGAGAGGCCACCTGAAGATGGAGGTGGAGATCAGGGTGATGCAGCTGCAAACCGAGGCACACCTGAGGCCCCCAGAAGCTGGAAGAGGCAGGAAGGACTCTCCTGGGGTGTGGGGGGATGGTCAGGGGGGAACGCGGCCCTACCACACCTGGACCTGGGACATTTGGCCTGCAGAATGTTTGAGAACAGATTCCTGTGGTTTCCACGCCCCCTGCCCACCCGCCGAGCTGTTTTAGCTGTCCAGATGTGCAGTGCGGATAAGCCCACAACACCCCGGGCCATCCTTGGTGGGATGTACTCAGGCCACCTAGTGAGCGCCTACGCTGACACCGACACCGGGGGCACCACCTCCCCAACCCCTCTTTTCATCTGTAAGCACACAGCAGCTGAAAGATCCAGGGGACAGCAGAGTATTGTCATAAAATGTCACATTTATTGCTACAGTGCTGTTATGTACAGGTCTCCAAATCGACTTTAAAGAGGATCGTTATTAAAAATCCCAAAGAATTCAGCCAGCTGTGTTGACACTTATATAAAATTATTCTACTTAAAAAACTTTTTTTTGTTGTTTTTTAAAAAATCAGTTATCCTGAGGCACTCAGAGCACAATTTTCCCTGTAATTGTGGTTCTTCCCCTCCCCCAAGGCTACTTTTTCCCCCCGTGCTGGGTTAATCTCATTATATATATATAAAATATATAAAACTTAAATTATATATGTAATACACAGTTCAAAAGTTTGTGGGCCTCGGGGGGCCGCAGAGGCTCCTCGGCCCCTGCCCATCTGGGTCTGTGGGTTAGGACCGAGGCAGAGGGAAACTGAGGCAGGTTCCCCAAAGAGAGACAAGACCCACAGACCAGGGGAGTCACCAAGGAGAGTCCCCTGATCCGTCTTAGGGGCAGACCCCAGGGGATCCCAGGGACCTGGAGGTGGCCCCGGCCCCAAGCTGGGATGTCCCGCTTGTGCTGGCCTTGGGGTTCCCTCAAGCTTCCCGTGGGGCACCTGGCCCCCAGCCGTGGGGAGTTCCAGTCTTGAGGAGTCAGGCCGCCCCAGTGCTCGGGGAGTGAGGGGGTTTTGGGGGAGACACCTGGGATGCTGGTAGGGTGGGGTGCACGCAGCCAGCCAGGGGGTACGTAAGGCCTCTCTGCAGGGGGTAAAGGGAGGGCAGGTGAGACCCCAGCAGGCCTGACCCCACACCCAGGTGACACGTAAGGTGACCAACCGCCCTGGACTTTGTTTAAACCTGGGACAGCCCAGGCCGAGTGGGTTCCCCTGAACACACGGGAGAGAGGGCTACTCGGGGAGGCCTGGGAGCTGGCGCCCAGGGCCTGAGGGCAGCTCAGCCTCCTGGTTTGCAGTGGGGCATCAACCCTGACAGACACACAGCCTGGGGGCCTTTCTGGGCAGGGGGATCCTGTAACTTCCCCAGTCCACACAAGGAAGGCCACTCGGGGAGCAGGGGGTTTCTGTGCCAGAGTTCAGAGAATGAAGGACGGGGTGTTTAGGAGGCCCCCCCAGCACCATGCTCAGCAACGCAGGCCCCGGGCCCAGGAATGCTGGTCCTCACAAAGTCCCATCTGAGAGAGGTCCCAGGACTTGGAGGGACGTGGGGCTGGCAGGCCGCAGGCAGGGGCCTGGGGGACCCGAGCTGCTTGCGGGCAGGAACCTCGGCTGTGTGACAGGGGAGTGTCCCTGCCTCCTTGGAGGTGCCCAGCAGGGTGTCCCCTTCCTGAGGGAGGGGAGCAGATCTGGCAGGGGAGGCCCCCACCAAGCAAGGGCACACCCACTACCTCACAGGGAGCAAAACCACAAGAGCAAGCCCCCCACGCTGGAACCTGAGCTGGACGGCACCTGCCACCCCTGGTCCAGTAGCTCCCGGGGCGGGGGCGGGGGAAACCTCAAGTTTACACGGGGTCTTTTAAAAGTTTTTTGGCCACGCCACGTGGCACGAGAGATCTTAGCTCCCCGACCAGGGGTTGAACCTGTGCCCCCCGCATTGGGAGCGTGGAGTCTTAACCACTGGACCACCAGGGAAGTCCTGGGGTCTTTTTAATACAACTTTTAATAACCTTGTTGATCATGAAATGCAATGCTCATTTCTAGAAACAGCAGCAGAAATAGCAAGACACACGAGACTTTTATACAAAAAAATTTGTTGCTTAGAAAACATACGCAAAAAAAGCTAAAAAAAAAAGAGACCAAAGGCATCATTCTTACTAATTTTCTTCTACGTTATTAAAAAAAAAAAAACAAAACTCTCATAACTAAGGTTCCTTTTATCTTCCTTAAAAAAAAAAAAAAACTCTCAGGCATAGGCACAAGTTGCTGGTTGGTGGCTGCCGACCAAGCTGGCTCCGCACAGCATTTCCCTCCTGTGAACAGTATGTTTGAGTCTTCACGTTTTATACTTAAGGCATTCATTTTTCTTGTCTGACAACATGTATATACCAAAAACAAAAACAATGCTCCTTGCCGCCCAGGCCTGGGCAGCAGGGCCGAGACGCAGTTTCAGGATCCATCAGGCCAGAGGCCTGGCGGTGGTGTTGCTTCCGGAGCGCCCAGGGCGGTGTTGGCTCAAGGCTGACCACGGGCTGCGTGGGGTGGGGACCAGGCGCCTGGCGTGACTGTCCCAGGTTAGACCAAGATGGGGATCACTCGTCTGGGTGGCGTTCCTGTCACATGTGCCCGGCAGGGTTGTGGGCCTCACCCAGGCCTGGGTGGGCGGCCGACAGCACCATCTGGGCATCTCCGACCACGCCGGACACCTTCTCCTCTTCTCGGCGCTTCAAGCAGGCCGCTTTGGGGTTCAGGTTACGCTCTGGGGGAAGGGGGAGAGCACTGTGGGAGAGGGTCCCCGGGGGGGGGCCCGCACGGCTGCTCCATCTCTCGACCTGTCCCCGTCCCCGAGAAGGCCATGCGGGCCGAGGGTCTACAGAGCAGGATGAGCATTGGGGGGCGCCGGCGGCTCAGGTCCCCAGTGGGCAGGAGGGCGGGGCGGGGCCGGCCCGGGCGCCTACCTCGCACCTGCTGCTCCAGGCCCAGGATGACCTGCACGGCCTGCTGCAGGATGAGCAGCTTGGTCTGCGCCTTGTCCGACTTGAGGTGCAGCTGGCACATGCGCCCCAGCTCCCGGAAGGCCTCGTTAATGTCCCGCACGCGCACCCGCTCCCGCGCGTTATTGGCCATGCGCCTCTCCCGGTCCCTCAGATCTTTCTCCTCCAGGGACAGCACCTCCTCCGTACTGCTGGGTCACAGCACCGGGGCCCGTTAGTCCCGAGCGGGGGTTGTGGGGAGGGCACCCGCTGGCTGCGAGTGCGCATGCCGTGTGCCTGGCAGGAGGTGAGGCCTTGACCCCCACCCGCGCATCTGCAGGGAGCTGGGCGCAGCCCTTGCCCCCGCCCGCTTGCAGTGCCCAGGGCTGGTCAGGAAACAGGGAGGCCCCATGCCCCCCCCCCCAACCCCGGGATGACGACCTTCCCCGTTCAGAGCAGCTGCTTGCTGGGTGAAGGAGAGCTAGGCCTGGGGCTCCCAGAGCTCAGGACACTGATTCCACAGAAGCAAACCAGCTCACAGCCTGGAGACCCCTCATGCCTGGGCGCCACAGGACTGCACCTGCCCCACGTTGGACCCTGGCTGCCTGAGAGCTGGGCCTGGAGTGGCCGCCCTGAGCCCTGCCTGGAGGACCCTGAGGCCTGGCACTTGTGCTGTAACCGCTGGGCGGCGGGCACAGTGTTGAGTCCCCCCAACGAGTCTGGAACAGGGGCTCAGAGAGCTGACCACGGGGTCCACACGCCAGCTCAGGCCCCCCAGGAGCGCAGCATAGGGCTCTGCACGAGCAACCTCTCCGTCTGCCTGTTTCCCTGGGAGCCCGTCCTGCCCTCCCACCCTGCCCTCGGGCCTGAGCGACCCCCGCGGGTGGCGGCGGCGGCCGGAGCTCAGGACAAGCGTGCAGACCAAACTGACAGACAGGCCTCGGGGCCCCTTTCTTCCCTCAAGTCCCGATGGGGACCGTGGGGGAGGAAAGGCCCGGGTCGCAGCCCTGCCGTTTCAGCGCTCGGGCGCAAGTGCGAGGTAAGGAGGGCAGCCGGTGGGAGTGAGGAGGTGGGCGGCCAGGGTGGGGGAGCACGGGGGGACAGAGAGCAGAGAGGCGGGCGGACGCGGCGTGACGCCCATGCCGCCGTGGGGACGCAGAAACCCCAGAGCTCAGGGGACAGTGGGCAGCAGGCCAGGGCCCTAGCTCCGGTCCAAGCGACAGCGCTGCAGGAGAGAAAGGGTTAACGGGGCAGCGGGGGTGGGGTGGGGGTCGTTAAGGAATCAGCTGGAGGGAGTCACAGCCTCCCTGACCCTCACTCAGCCCTGGGGATGGGGGGGGTGAACCCCACCTGCAGGTGGGGACCGATGGGCTCAGGTGCCCCACGAAGTGTCTGCTCAGAGAGAGAGCGACAGTGACAGTCTCTGGGAGCCAGGGGACACGAGTCCCTGCCAGCCGGGCTCTGGGCTTCCTCAGAAGGAAGGGCTGGGCAGGTGGAGTCTTTGGGGTCTGAGGAGACAGTTCTGTGCCAAAGTGCCCAGGGCTACAAGGCTAGGGGGTCGAGAGTCTGTTCCTCTCACTTGAGGGGACAATGGGATGGGACTTCCCTGGCGGTCCAGTGGCTAACACTTGCCCCGCTTCTACTGCAGGGCTGGCGGGTTCAATCCCTGGTTGGGGAACTAGGATCCCACCTGCCAACGCAGCACAGCCAAAAAAACCCACTGGAGGCAGCAATGGGACCTGGCTAGGCAGAGGGCCCACGGTCAGGAGAGAGATGGTCACTGAGGAGGGAACGGCCACTGCAGAGGAGGATGGTCACTGGGGGGATAGTCACAGCAGGGAAATGGGAACCGGTCGCTGAAGGGGGGCTGGTCACTGTAGGAGGCAGAAAGTCAGCAGGAGGAGGTCACTGCAGGGGTGATGTCACTGCAGGGAAAAGGTCACAGGGCGAGGGAGGAAGGTCACAGCAGGGGAGGTCACGCAGGGGAGGTGGGCTCCAGGAAGGGAGAGGGGAAGAGCGAGGGCAGCAGTGGGGGAGGGGAGCGGCGCCCCCACTGACCTCGCACCTGCTGCTCCAGGTTCAGGATGACCGACACGGCCTGGTGCAGGATGAGCAGTTTGGTCTGGGGCTTCTCACTGTTGAGGTGCAGCTGGCACATGCGCCCCAGCTCCTTAAAAGCCTCATTGATGTCTCGGACCCGCAGCCGCTCCCGCGCGTTATTGGCCACCCGGCGCTCCTTCTCCCGCTCAGCCTTCTGCTCTGGGGGGAGAAGGTCGTCCTCGTCCTCGTCCGGGCTACGGGGCCAGGGGCCAGAGGGAGACAGTGAGGCAGGGCCGGGCAAGGGCCTGCCGCGGCCTCGGGAGCCGGTGCCCCGTGCGCGTGCGCAGCCGGCGCCCTGAGGGGCCCCCGTGCGCGTGCGCAGCCGGCCTGTGGGAGTGGGGGGGGGCGGCACCTGGTCCGGGCGCGCGGGGCCTTGAGGTCCTTCTTTTCGTCTTCGGCGGTGTCGGCCGCCACGTTATCTCCGTCCTCCTGCTCCTCCCGCTTGATGTCGCCGGGCCCCGGGGCGGCGCCGCGCCCGAGATCTGCAACGGGCCGGAGTCAGGGGCCTCCGTGCGCAACGGCAAGCCACCCAGAAGCCCACCGAGAGCGGGACACCGGCCTCGCGCCACACGTGGGCACCCGTTCCAGACCCCACGGACCGAAAGGCCTTCAGAAGAAAGTGCGCCGCAATGTCGTGGCCACTCGGGCGGAAACCTGTTTCCTAAAACGCTAAGGAGCTGTCCTCAAAAGAAACAGAAATCGATAAACTTGAATATATCAAAATTGAGAACTTCTCATCACCAAGAAAATAAGCGTCTGCGCCACTGGACACAAGACGCCGTCACGTACAAGCCAACAGAGGGCAGGTCCCCAAGATCCCAAAGAACCGCTACAAGTCAGTGCGGACGTGATGGAGAAGCCCGAGGGGAGCAGGGAGGGCCCCCGGGAGCCTGCAATCTGCGTCACGGCTTCAGGAAATGCTGAAATGCTGCGGGTCTGAGTATGACCGCTTTGGAAAACACTTTTTCCACCTTATCTGGAAAAGGCGGGCACGTGTGTGCCCAGCAACCCTCCAACCCAGAATCACACCCGCCACCAGGAGACACGCTCGGAAGGTTTGGAAGAGCACCCACGCGTGGGCCCAGGTTGGGGTGGGACCTAGCGTCCCGTGAGGCCAGGGCTGGTCCTTGCATGGCCGCTGAGCAAGCAGTCGGGTGGGAAAGCCACCCAGTAGGACAACGACCCACAAAACCCCCAGGCCACAAAGAGACCCGTGGCCGAGGGCACACGGCTGCTTGAAACCACCACGTGGCCACGGGACTGGCCTGGGCTCTCCCGCAGCTGAACCACAGGACGCGGGCAGTGCTTAAGAGACCAGCTCGGGGGCTCCCTCACGACTGCTGCCACCAGGCGGGGGCGTCCTGGGCTCTGTGGGGGCTGAACATCACCCCTGCCCCTGTAACAGCCAAAGATGTCCCCAGACGCCACCCAGGTGTGAAGTGACAAAATCTAGACACCCAGTCAAGAGTCAGGCTGGTTCTGGGGCTGCAGGGTCCTCAGGCAGGCATGAGGGTCGTGTGGTGGGTTCAGGGGGGCCTTGTTGTCAAATGCGTGCAGCATGTGGCACAGTGTATTTTTCACCAGGTCGATGGGGGCAGGGTGGGCAGAGTCCTGGATCCTCTCCAGGCCTTGGTCTCACCGGCTGTTGCAGGGTCAGCATTAACCGACCCTGGGACGGCTCCTTGTGACACCCAGGGCCCCAAACCCCAGTGGGCATGCGCAAGCCTGCCACTGTTACCCCCTTCTATTGATAACCTCGTGCCAAGTAACTTTGCCCCTCTCGCTACTGCTAATTTTTCTGCTTCCCTGGACAGTTAACAACCCAGAACTCCACCAACGCCGCCCCACTTGCCCTGACAGGGCCCTCAACTCAGCATCCAACGTAGTGCACCCTCCTCCAGGCCCCTCAGCGCCTGCCCCCCCTGATCTGCCCGGGACCCTGGCCCCGCCTGAGACCCTGCCCCACCTGGGACCTGCCCAGGCTCCCCACCATCAACTCCACTGTGTGCCAAGGACCCTGAGACCCCACCTACAGACCAGAACCGTACCTCCTCCTCCACATCTGCAAATCCTTCAAAGCACCTGGAAATCGCCCACCACTGCCCCTCTTCGGCCCCTCACAGGCAGCCCAGTCTGTCCTTCCAGCAGCAGCCACCAAAGTACGTCTATGAGCACCTGAGCAAGGCCCCGCTCCTCTTCTACCCACAGCCCTCCAGGGCCGTCACCTCCCTGGGGTAAAAGCCCAAGTCCTCCCCAAGGCCCTGCACTACCTGCCCCATCCCCTCCCCCACCTGCCCCATCCCCTCCCCCGTCCCTTCCCTCCTCCCTCTCTCCCCCTCCCTCACTCTGCTCCAGACATGCGGGCCTCCTTGCTGTTCCTCCAACACACAAGGCACAGCTCTGCCCCAGGGCCTTTGCGCGTGCACCCACACACACACACAACTTTCTCCCCAGCACTCATCCTGACACACTTCCTTCACCTTCCAGTTTCCGCACAAGTCACCCCCTTTCTCTGCCTGATCTGTTTTGCTCCCTGGTGCTGAGAAAAGTGCCAGACACACGATGGACGCTAAACATATGCCTTTTGGGACTCTCCTGATTGACCAGGTGAACAGAGAGAGAGGTAGCAACCCACCCCAGAAGCAGCAGGGCCCCTCCCAACCCCTGTGGTGCCAGGTAGGGCTTTGGTGATGTGGCAGGGGGCATCTCCCCCTCTCCGCACCAGTGCCCAGTTAGTTACCCTGGACCTCAGTTTCCTCAGCTGGAGATGCGGGTGGACAGTCCCGAGCCCACAGGCCACTGAGAAGGTTAGCGGGTGGCTCTCAGTCCCCATTTTCCAGAGGAGGAATGTGGCTCCAAGGAGGAGTGATACCCACTGGCGGGCCCACGGCACGGGCCACCCTGGGGTGCAGCCACCTCTGCACGGGGGACGTCACCGGGACTTACCGCTGTAGGAGTCAGGCGGCCGGGAGAGGTCGGGGAGGGCCACGTGGTTGTGCACGAGGCCGCCACTGCTGGAGAGGCCATCCTCCGAGTGGCTGCCGCCCACCTGTGGACGAGGCGGGTTATCAATGCTGGCCTGGCCCCAGCCGACCCCCCAGCCTGCCCTTGCCCAGCACTCACCAGGCCAGCGTGCCGCCCGCCCAGTGGCATGACAGCGCCAGCAAAGCCCGAGGCCAGCGGCCCATGGCCGGGCAGCAGTCCGTGCACGTCCCCTGCTGTGCCCACAGCGTGGCTGCGGAGGACGTGGATGGCCTCGTCCAGGTGGTCCTCCATCTTGCTCTGCTGTGGGGTGGACAGGAGTGAGGGGCCTGGGCCGCCGGGACCCCACACAGCTGCCAACAGCATAGCTGCCCGTCGCGGGCCACGGCCACAGCTTTGGCCACCCACCAGCTTTGGATCCTATTCCCAACAAATTAGCTGAGAAGTTTAACCTGGTCAAGGGGCACCTGTCCTGTCGCACATTCTGCTGTTTCCACGACACCCGAGACCTCTTACAGGATGTGGCTCTGTGGCCATGGCAGACAGGCGAAGCCACCCCCGACCCCAAACGGGTGTCCCTGTGTGTTCACAAGCACCTCTGCTCCCTGAGCTCCCACGAGGGTGCACCTTCCCCAGCCCCCAGGACACTCACCAGGCCGTGGAGACCCCCATCATAGCTGGGCGATAAGGCACCAGGGGCTCCTGCTCGAGGCCACTGTGATGTCCCTGGAAGGGGCAGATGTGCGTGAGGGGGTGGGGGTCAGTGCAGCCTGACCCAGGGAAGGAGAAAGACTGGGCTGGGAGTCTGCAGCTGTGATGCCCAGACTGGCCACACAGGGGCTCCCACGCCCACAGGGCAGTCTAAGGGCCCAACGTCTGAATCTCAGCCCAGCTGGCCCGACAGCTCTGCCAGGCTGGGGTGTGAACCCAGTGGGCAAGTCATGTCTTTGAGCCTCAGTTTCTCCAACTGCAAAACCCACGGGGCAGGCGGCCCCTCCCAGTCCCGCCCCACCGGAGCCCCAGAGGCACGGTGCGGGCCTGTGTGCCCTCTGGAGACCGTGGCCCTCACTTCTCCACGGCCCCTCGCTGAGCCCCGGGTGCACCCTCTTAGGGACAGGGGACCCAGCCCCCCTGGCAAAGCCAAACGTGAGGCATACAGTGGGCGCCTAACAGCTTCTGGGGTGAATAAGTGCCAACACGCCCATGTCCTGGAGTCCAGGCGGGAGCCTCGGGCCGGCTGCTCTGCTTCTTGGGCATCCCAGGCCCCCCCCGCTGGATCCCACGTGCCCCTCACGCTCACAACGTGTGGCCTGCCGCGTCGCGCCTCCTGACCTTTGCCTCTGCTGTGACCTAGGAGCATTGGCTTGGAAGCCCCCCATCCTCTAGGGAGCCCTCCTCGACGGCCATGGGAACATGAGCTCTGAGGCATGTGGTCTGTCCAGCTCCCCACCCACCCGGGGCTAGTTAGCAGACCCAGTCCCCTCCTCCAGCACGCTGCACAGACCTGCCAGGCCCTGTGGGGAGCCCACGGGGGTGGAGGGGCTGGATGAGAAGTTATTGCTTGACTGGTCTGGGGAGTAGATCTGTGACGCAGACAGGGAGAGAGAAAGGGCCACCACGTGGCTGGTCAGGAGTCAGCCTCCTGGGTCACCGACCCAGCCATCCACCACGTGCCGAGTCTCACCGAGGCCAGCGCCTTCCCAAGGGCGTCCCCAGAGCTGCCGGCTGTGGTTCCACGGGAGCCTGTGGGTGGAGAGAGGTGAGGCCCAGCCTCTGGGATGCAGCAGCCCCAGCACCTCGGCCGGGCTTGCTCGCCCCGGCTGACGGGGAGCTCCCTTCTGCACGCAGCTGCCTGCACATATGCCACAGCCTGGCCCTGGGCAGCCCCGGTCTCAGTCGGGTGTCTCTTGATGCCTCACCACGTGCCTCCACAGTGGTCTGGGGAAAGGCAGGCTGCGGGGCTCGGGGTGAGCAGCCCCCTTGCTGCGCCTCAGTTTCCCCAATTGAACAGGGGGACCTACTCATCGAGGAACCACTTTGAAACGTCTGAGGGGGCCCGAGGAGCCCGAGCCAGGCAAGGGGGATGCGGTTAATGATGATACCCAGGGCTGGATCCTGAGCCCACCGGAGGTGTGGGGTGAAGGGGCCGTACCCAGGAGGCTGTCAGCCCCGCTGACGGGGGGGGTGTGGCTGGAAACACTGCTATAGGCGCCCGTGGGGGCCGAGGAAAAGGTGGACACAGCCGGGAGCCCGCCGTTCACCTCTGCTCCGTGCAGCTGGTAGCCCTGTGTGCGGGGGACGCGGTATGAGGAGTCAGACAGGGCCCTGCCCACACACACCTCCCCCGCCCCGGCCACGGCCACCCCACGGGGCCTACCATGCGCTCGTGCTGGTGCAGGCCGCCAAACCCACCGCTGCCACTGCTGCCCACGGAGCTGCCGCCACCTGCCGGGAGGGGCAGGGGGGATGAGCCCCCGCCCAGCATGGGCCCAAAGCCCACCTGGCCTGGGGGGCTCCAGAGCTCAGCCGAGGGTTGCAGGCTGCCGTCTGCGGAGAGGAGAATGGTGAGGTGGGCGGGCAGAGGGAGCCCGGGCCCCGCCCCAGGCAACCCAGGCGAGCCCGCAAGTACCTGCCACGTAGAAGGAGGCAGGGTAGGTGCCGCTGGGGGTCTTCGTGGGTGGGTAGGTGGCGGTGTCCCTGCTGTAGTCATCACCTGAGCTGGGTGGGTACACCTGTGCTGGGCCAGCGGGCATGGTGAGGCAGGAGGGGCCGGGTGGGGTGGGGACCAGCCAGCCCCTGCCCCGCAGCTCCCCCTGCTGGGTCTCCCCCTCCACCTGGAGGGCTGTTCACCCCACCGCCCACTTCCCTGTGCTTCTCCAAACCTTCCCTCTAAAACCGCACCTCGGCCCCGCGTCTGAGGCTCTGCTCTTGTTACCACCTCTCTCTGCTGTTCCTCCTTCACCCCCACCTACTGCCCTCCCCACAGTCCCAGCCTTGCACCTGCGCCTGAGGCCTCTGTAGACTGGACCCCCAGCCCAGACTGCCTTTTCCCCCCTTAATCCAGTAAACTCCTATTGATCCAGCAGAGCCCAGCTGTGCCGCCCCCAGCACCGGAACCTGCCTTAACCCCAGCGCTGATCACACAAGACCTGGGGGCCTCAGAGGCAGGGCCCTGGGTGAATATTCTGCCCCAGCTGCCCCAGAGCAGTGCGAGAGCAAAGGCTTTCAAGGATCAGCGCCGACCCTGATTGGCTGGGCACTGCAGGAAAGTGCTGGGGTCAACTGGCCACGTCTGCCCCGGCACTGGAGCAGAAAGCGGGGTTCAAGTGCCGAGAGATGGTAGGACAAAGTGGGTTCACGGGCCTCTCAACTTTGATGTTCCAGGATGTGACATCACGAGCTGAGTCTTAAAACAGCCTCTGGGCCTATGGCCTGGTACAGGCCAGATCAGCCTCCGGGGCTCAGCACAGCAGAGAGGGTGGTGGCTGAGCCGGGGAGTCCAGCAAATTGCCTTTTCTCCCAACGTGATTAAGTCTCGGGAGCACGGTGCTGGGAGCCACTGACGGCTCGGCACCATCTGCTGGGCCTGGCCGCCCTCCAGCCACCAGGCATGGGGTGAGGACAGAGGGCAGCTCCAAGCAGGGCGGACGGGGCGGGAAACCCTCTAACTGGATGCCAGGACGCCCGCCCACCCCCGCTTCCAGGACCCCGTTCACGCCCTTTCTGAGGCGCCTCGGCCAGAGGAAATCACCTTCTCTTAGAGCAGGAGGGACCCAGGCTAGACCCAAGGAAGGACTTCCCGACTACCTCAGGGCTGGGGCCTCAGGGAAGAAGTCCAGCTGAGCCCATGGGGCTTTCGTCAGACCCCACGCAGCGCCGGCCCACCCTCGGGAGGGGGTCACGAGAGGCACTCGGCCTGTGGGGCCCGTTTGTCCCACAACTCACCGAGGATGGGAGACCTGGCGGCACCTTCCGGACTTTCTTGGGCTGTGTGTCTGTTGGGACAAGAGGAGTGAGCACCCCCGGCCACCACTGGGAGGGGTGCAGGGGGCCCTTCCCGCTTGGACACTCCTGTCACTAGGGGGTGGGAGACGGTCCCACCCTGCAGCTCGGAGAAGAAACCCCCAAGCTCCCCTACTAAGAGAATGACTTAAACCAGCCTCAGGCCCATGTGGCGAACTCAGGGGGTGGGTGTGTGCCGGGAGCCGGGTCGCAGGGTTCATGGACACGGGAGCCGGTGCCTGCTCCGCGAGCCCCAGCTCCTGGCAGCCGCCCGGTCGCCAAGTCCCGGACCTGCAAGCTCCCCCTCACCGAAACTGCTAAGCCCCAACACTGGCTTGGGCGCCTCCACGGTTGCCAGGTGCCGCTGGCCTTCCGGCTCCAGTGCGGCCTGGACGGGAAGCTGGGGTCCCGGTCCCGCTCGCTGTGGGCCTGCGTTGGCACCTGTGTACTTCTGGGTGGGTGACTTTAGCATCACTAAATCAAAGCAACCTCGCTAAACGAAGCGTCTTTCGACAGAACCGCACGGTGCGCAGGGTGTGTATGGCTGGGGAAGCAACCAAGGGCTGTGGAACGCTCGCTGCGCCAATTCAGCGCTGCCCCTCACAGGACGCGACCACCAGGACCCACAGGGACCGCCGTCCCCGCCGCCCCGCCACCGCCCCACTCACCCAGGCCGCCATCCGCAGCTCTCCGCCGAGGGTGACCGGAGTAGGAGTAATAGTGGGGCCCGCCTTTGACGCCCGAGGGGGACAGCGGCCCCGGGCTGCTGAGGGCCAGCTCGCTGGGCAGGAAGCTGGCCTGAGGGAGGGGGAGGGTTAGCAGCCGGTCCCCTGCCCAGCCCCCAGGCCATTCTGGTTTAAAACAACAAAGGCGGGCTTCCCTGGTGGCGTGGTGGTTGAGAGTCCACCTGCCGATGCGGGGGACACAGGTTCGTGCCCCGGTCTGGGAAGATCCCAAATGCCGCGGAGTGGCTGGGCCCGTGAGCCATGGCCGCTGAGCCTGCGCGTCCGGAGCCTGTGCTCCGCAACGGGAGAGGCCACAACAGCGAGAGGCCCGCATACCGCAAAAAAACAAAAACAAAAAAAAAACAACTAAAACAACAAAGGCAAGAGCGAGGGCCCAGGCCAATGGCAGGGTCCTGGGGTGACAGTGACCTGGGGTGTAGGTCCCTCCCTGCTGACACCACTGGCATTTCTCTTATCTAAGATACCACCGATTCATTTTCATGAAGGAAAAAGACGGAGAGACAAACACCGTCAAGCCTGAAGATGTGTTGCTGTCTGGGCGCTAAACGGGCACAACTATGCTTCAGGTGTCAAGGGAATCTATGTGTTTTACTTCGTACGTATCCCCCCCCGCCTTTTGTTTTTAAGGTAAACGGTTTAATCTCGCAGACATGCCTTTGAAATAGACTCTCTTCCCAGGAAAGCAAGGATGACTGGGGTTCGAGGCACAGTGCTGCAGCCTTGGCTTTCCTGTCTGTGCAATGGGCATGTCAGACGTTCCACGGCTCAGGGCTGTCGTGGGGACAGATGGGGCCATGCAAGTTCTGCCCCTGGCCGACGACCTGGGGCCCCGCGGGCACTCAGTGGCTGTGACCTGGCTGAGGCCCAGTGTGCACACAGGCGGTGCTGCCTGCAGCAGGGCCTAGCTGCACCCTGAGGTTCCAGGACTGCAGGCAGGGAATAAAGCCCTCGGGCATGCGGCAGGAGAGAGACCAGGTGGGGCAGGACAGGAGGCCACAAGGGACCACTGTGCCAGGCAACTGGCCCGTCAGCATCCCAGTGGGGTGGCCACGGGTGACAATCTCGCCCAGGCCGGGGACTGTGCCGAGGCTGACCACAAGGCTGGGGGCACGGAACGAGGGTCAGGCCTCGTCTGCCTGGCTGGCCTCGGTCTCCCTGTCTGCCACTTGGGGGCAGGCGGACGGGCAGGTGTCTCCTGGAACCCCTTCAGCTGTGCACAGGGCCCCACAGGCTGGACCCCAGCCTCCCCTTTCCCCATCGACAACCCACCCGGCCTGACCCAGGAACCGGGCCTGTTTCAGCGGCTGCTGGAGAGTGACCAGCACTTGGCTGAGCCTTCACAGATCAGGAGGCAACTGGGACGAATTTGTTTCAAATTAAAACTAGGGAATACAAGGTGGGGTGAGAAGTCAAGCGGTGACTGTGGCCCCCATTGGGTACCTCCCATCCCTAACCACCTGCGCTGCCCCCTAGTCTGGAGACAGGGGCTCTCCAGGCTCCAAGGGCCGCTGGGGGCCGACGGGACCCACGCCCTCCCCTGCCCACCCTGCAGACGCAGCCTCACCTGAGTCAGGCTGCCGACCCCTGCGTCTCTCCCAAAGGGGGTGTACGCGCCCCGCTCGCCGCCCTTGCCTGGGGAAAAGGAAGGAGGGTCACCCAGAGTTGACCCAGAGGCCGGCACATGCCTACATATAGCAGGCGCTCCACAAGTGCACAACACTGAAAACCGTGGGGGGACACTGGTCTCCCCATCAAGTGGCGAGGGGCTGAGGGACAAGTGGGGTTCCAGCCAGACGCTATCCCCAGATGACCCGCAGAGGATTCTGCAAACCCGCCAGGGCCCCCACGTGCCCCATCCCCAGAGCGGGACAGCACCAACTCGGCTCCCCACCCCCGCCCTTCTCAAACTTTGGTTTCCTCTGTTCAAGGTCATGAGGTGTCAACTCCCCAGGGTGCTGGGTTCCCAGGGGACAGGTCGAGGTCCCTGGTATCTTGCAAGTTTCAGCACCCAGGCCCTGGGCTCCTTCCCCAGCTCCTGGACAGGGTCAGCTCACAAACAAGCATGTGACATCGCTGGGGATGCTGATTCAAGCCACTCGGTGAGAAGGAGCTCTTCCTCTGTGTGGGTGGGCAAGACCGAGCTGTGGGGGGACAGCCTGCCCGAGAGAGCAGCTGGTGTGAACAGACTCCTGCAGCTACACAAACACCTGGATCCAGCCTCGCCTGAAGCAGGTCCCTGGATCCATCAGTACCCGAACAATTTCAGTTTGTTCTGTCTTCAGCTGGGCACCTATCCTGACTGAGGGCGGACCTTAACCAGCCTTACCGTGAGCAAGAAATCAGAATACTTCACTGACTAACTTGGTTTATTCTCAAACTGGGCAGGGCGGGTGGGGGAATTCTCCCCTTTATCCATTTATTTTTTGAATATTTTTACTTATTTTTTGGCCACGCTGCGCAGCTTGCGGGACCTCAGTTCCTCGACCAGGGATCAAACCTGTGCCCTCGGCTGTGAAAGTGCCGAGTCCTAACCACTGGACCACCAAGAAATTCCCTCTCCCCTTGATTTTAAAAGGACAACTTCAAGTGGACTCTTGGAGCAAATGCTGTTTAGGGGGCAGAGAGAAGGACCACGCTCCTACCAACACAGCGGATGCCCCACAGGCCACGCCCACCAGCTCAAGCTCAGGGCGGGCGACACGGGCCCATTTAGGGATGAACAAAGCACAGCCTGGAGGCCAGAGGGACTCGCCCCCAGTCCAGAGGGTGCACTCCTCCCTCCCTTCCCAGGGTGGCCATGGGAAGCAAAGCTGGCCGGCCCAGCCAGGGCTCTGGGCTCCCCACTGGAGGGTGGGGCTGCTGTGGTTTGACCCTGCGTACAGCAGGCACCAAGCAGGGGCATCCTGAAAGGAAGGCTGAGGGAGGCAAGGAGAGAAAGCAGAGGTTCTGGGAGGGGACCTGCGAGATCCACGAGCCCTGTGGGTATACAGCAGGTGCCCAAGCCATGCACCGGGCCCGGGCATCAGGGTTTGAGAGGGGGAAGGAGGACAGACACCAAGAGCAGACCCACCAGGTCTCATCAAGGAGCTGGACCAGGTTGGGGGCCCCACGGGAACAGAGTGACCCTCGCCCCCTGGGCCTGGCACTCACCGCCCGCTGCCCCACCATAGCTATTGCCAGCCCCAGTCCACAGGCAAGAAAACCAGGGCCCAGGGAGGCCGAAACTGCGCCCACCTCCCCACTGTCTCGCTGGGCCTGGCCTGGGCTCTCTGCTGCACTCTCTGGAGCTCCTCGGCCACTGGGGCATGTGGCGGGTGTGACACAGCTGGGCTCTGGGCCCTGCTGGCCAGGCCCGGCCGTGGGAACTGCCCGTGCCAGGAAGAAGCCGGAGGAAGAAACAGCAGAGGGGAACCGGTGTCGTGGCAGGTGCAGAGGCCACCCGGCCAGCCCTCACCTCCCGGTCTGGGAGATGCACACAGACTCCCGCTAGACACAGTGGGTGCTGGACGCTGTGCTCCCCCTCCCTGCCCAGGACTGCACCCAGGCCACGCTCGCCCGTCTGGCTCCTTCCATGTGCCAGTCCACAAGGGCTAGACCCCAGGCCCTCCGGCCTTGGCTGCCCCACTGGTTGGTTGGGCCCGGCAACCAGAGTTCACCCACCTCCCCCAGCAGCCACCAACCCCGCCGCCATGCACCTCGGCCTGGGAACCGCTGGGGACAGCGCCAAAGGAGCCTACCTCACCCGGCTGTCACGTGCAAGGACCTCGTGTCTCAGGAGCACCGGGAGTGCACAGCCCAGGCCCTGAGGCGGGAGCTGACCCACCCCCGGCCCCTTTCAACCCCCAGAGATGCCAGCTTGGCAGTCACCCCGACACTCCCTCAGAACAGGGAGGGCCCAGGCTCAGCAGGGCCAGCACTCGGACACCCAACCAGGGCCTGAGGGTCCCAGAGGCCGGGTCCCTTCTCGCTGAGCCTCAGTCTGCTCATCTGCGAGATGGGGGTGGGCCTTCGGGCCTAGGGAGCCAGGTGAGTCCTTACCACTGGCTACGCAGAAGGCTCTGAGAATCCCCATCCCTGCAGGTCGGGAAACGGGGGCTAGAGAGGGGACCCTCACCCAGGTCCCGATGCTGACTCTCACGGTCAGGATGCCGGTGCTCTGGGGAGAGCAGGCGAGGGGGCCGGCCTCAGACTCGGCCTCCCCATGTTGTCGGGACTCCGGAGTCCACTTCCCGGCAGGCACCTGGCTGGTCCCCACCTGTGTCCTCTGCTCTGGGTGGCCATCCCGGAAGCCCTGGTGCTCGAGGACCGAGCGGGCACGGGGGTGGGGGCAGGGACCACGTGGACACTCACCTCCGAGCCCAGGTCCCAGGAATGTGGACGAAGCGAGGGTGCCGTGGGACTCACTGAAGTGGGCGCCATCACCGTAGGTCTGTAGGGCAGACGGGCAGGGATGAGGAAGGCTCGGGGATGCCTCCGGGTCAGGATGCGACTGCGCGCCACAGAGCCCAAAGCACCTGCAGGCCAGGCCGGGGTTCTCCTCGCGCTCGCCCACCCCCACCCCAGGGTCTCAGGCCTCCAGGGGCTCCTCACCCGGCTGGGGTCGAAGGAGGAACTGTTCTGCTCGCTGGTGCCCCACGAGCCCGAACTGGGCCGGTCCTCGAGACCTGTAGGGCAGGAAGGCAGGGTTAGGGGCCCGGCCCCTGGCCGCTCCACACCAGCCGCATTGCCTCGGGGAGCCCTCACTCGACCTGGCAAGCTTTCCAGGCCCCTCCCGACCCAGCCTGGTGCTGGAGGCCGTCCAGATGCACCCACCCTAGCACTACCCATGGTGACACCACTGCCAGCGGCAAGCACCCCGGACACACCGGCACTAAGCAGACCTCTGGGTCCACGGCCCAAGAAACAATTCCACCACCAGCTGCTGGCAAACTTGCCACTGCTGCTGGCACACTTCTACCCACCCATCCAGCTCCCAGCCCACCCTGGATGGAGCCCTCACTTGCACTCTGGGCTTCCCTCCCCAGGCCCAAGTCCCTCCCTCTGGCCCAGGCTCATGAAGGCGTCAGGGAATGGGAATGAAGGATATCTCTCATCTCGGAGAGTGGGAGCCTCCTCCTTCCAATCTCTGGCAATTCGAGAGGCGGGGCTGTCCCTTTGTTGAAATAACAGCGGCAGCTGCCGACTACCCGCCAGGCACAGGCTGGGTGCCGGCAGGGAAGGAGAAATCCAATCCGGTAAGATAGGCGGGGCCCGGGAGGCCCAGGTGTGGCAGGGTTAGCCACCGTGGGGACAAGGACCTTGGATGGAGGGTGGGCAGGGCAGGGCAGGGCAGGGCCCTTATCTCCCTGAACACTCGCCCAGGGGCCCAGCCCAGGACCCGGATCTTCCCAGCAGGCAGGCACACAGGCCTGCACCCTTCCTGGGCGCGTGGGCTCCAACACTGTCCACCAGGGGCCACGGGGCTCAGGGCCTGGACAAGCAGAACGGGAGCAGTCCCCGGGCCCCTCCCACCTGTGCCTCAGTTTCCCTGCTCTTCAGATGGGGTCACAAACACGCCCTACTTTGCAGGGCTGGGGGTGTCCACGTACGAGTCTGAGTCAAAGCTGCCCAGGCCAGGCTGAGCCAGAGAGGCCGTACCCAGCCCTGCCATCTGTGCCAGGGAACGTGCCCCACCCCACCCCCGACCCCACGTGGTGGACATCCCGAACACCCCAGCCGGAATCCCTCACCCCGCCCTCCTCTGCGCATCTGTACCACAAGTTCCTTTCAAATTGCATCCTTCTCTTTTGGTGCCTTTGAGTTAATCATTCCCCTGGGGAGTTGGTGTTTAATTGCTGTCTGATTTGCATAACTATGCATATTAATCTCCCAGTCTGATGAATATTCATATACCTTGGTTAGATACTGTTTTCTAATCAAAAATTTCCAATGTGATTACGATGCAGAGCTGGGGGCTGCCTTGCGGGCAGGGGGTTAGACGGAGCTCCCATGGTCTCCACAAATCCATCTACCATGTGCCGCCAGGTTTGGGGTGTCTGCACCCCAAGGTCCTGAGTCCCCACTTGGGCTCTGGGGACGAGAGCAGCTGGTGAAGGGGGGTGACCCTGGGCGAAGGGCCAGCACCCAAGCCCCCGTTTCCCCCCACGGCCACTTATTTGTCATCCCCTCGCTCTCCGGTGCCCGCCCACGAGCTCGTTCCGCTCTGGGTCCCCCACCCCTATGGGCATCCACCTCGGGCCCCAGAGTCGCCAGGACCCCTTGGGCAAGAGAGCAGGAGGCCAAGTCCAAGGCCAAAGCCAGGCCTTCCCACCCCCCCTACCCCACCCCCGAGGGCTGGCAGGGTGACGGGCGCTCCTGGGGCCGACACCCAGGGACCCCTCCAACTTGGGCCCCACAAGCTTCAGGTAGAGGCAACCAGGCCCTGCTCTGCCCTTTCTGGTAAAACCCCCCTCACCCAGCCCCAGCCTCCCCGCTGCTGGAGACCAGACGACAGAAAGAGGGATGGCCCCTCCCCCACCGCTGCCATTAATAGTTATTAACCCCCCCAGTGGTTAATTATGCATTTTAAATAACCCAATCATGAATATTCATAACACCTCTTGTTCACGTTCTGATTAAAATGTACTAATAGAATGAGCTGTTGCTGTCACAGTATAATTTTTTCTTTTTGAAGTGCTGGAGGTGAAGTGGTGGCAGGGCAGCCCCCCCGGAAAGGTCATCTCTCTGCTCAGACCCAGCCCTGCCCCCAGGAAGAGGTGGGAGATGGCAGAGAAGAGGGCTGGGTGTGCCTAAGGGCACCGCCCACCCCTCGGGAGTTTCAGATCTGATCCGAGAGTCAGCCTGGGTGACGGAACCGCCCACCGTGAGGGCTGCCGGCCAGGATGACCAGTGTGGCACAGCCGGACACCCCCTTGGCTGGATGACGTGGGAGGGCGGGCCCCTCTGCGGGGGCCTCCATCCCGGCTGATTCCTCCAGGGCAGGTGTGCCAACTGTGACTGGACCAAGTCTGGCCCTTGCCTGCTTTTGTCAGTAAAGTTTTATTGGCGCATGGCCACTGACGTTGTTCCCTGTATACAGCGGTGTTGGTTACAACGCAGAGATCAGTTGCGACAGAAGCTGTCTGGCCCTTCACAGGGAAGGTCTGCTGACCCAGGCACGGAGGGGATTCCAGGAGCCAGTCCCTCCGTATAACGCAGCCAGACTACCATCAGTTGCGAGAAGCTGTCTGGCCCTTCACAGGGAAGGTCTGCTGACCCAGGCACGGAGGGGATTCCAGGAGCCAGTCCCTCCGTATAACGCAGCCAGACTACCAGACTTCGGTACCTGGAGTGTGGGGAAGACGTGGTCACAGGGCCTAGGCATGGCCCTGCACCGTCCCCACCACAAACCTGTCGCATAGCCACGGTCGTCAGGGGCTTCGTGCTGCAGCCCCAGCTCTGTCAGCACCCCCTCGCCCAGGTGCCCGGGCTAAATCCCAGGAGCCGTCCTCTCCCCTTGCCTCACTCCACTGCCCTCCACCCGTGGTCTCGGATCAGAGCCTGGCTCGGCCCTGTGTCCCCTGGGTCAAGCCCCATCCATACAGCAGTGCCCCCCCACCCCAGGTTCCCTGCCCACACTCCACCCCTAGCAGCCTGATGGAGCTTCTGGAAGCAAAACCTGCCTCTCCCTCCCTCTAGACTCTCCCATGGCTCCCCACTGCTCTCAGGGTAAAGACCAGACCCCTCCCTGACCGCCCTTCGCCCCCAGCTCACTCCTCCCTGCCCAACAAGTGAGCAGATCCCCAACCCCGACCCAAGCTCTGCCCCAGTGGTCCCCACACCTGCTAATCCTTCATCGCCCGTCAGGGAGGTTGCCTTGCTGGCCCCCTGTCTCCAGCATTGCCTGAACAGGGCTGGCCCCCAAACAACCTCGACAAATATCAGTTTTTGGCCTCTTCATTGCTCTGATAACTATCTAACCAATCACAATGTCCTCCGGCGGTGCCATCCTCCTGCGGTCACAGGCAGCTACTACGGGACTGGCGGAAAGAGCTCCCCACTCGACGAGATGTTAATTAACGCACGAGTAGATGACCCTGTGTGGCCAAGCAGCTGCTGTGCTGGATGTGTGGCCCCCCCAAGTAAAGACTAAAGTAGCAACAACAATAAAAATAACCACCATGCACCATGATCACATCTGAGAAAAAATTAACAGCACCTAAGGGCAGTCGTCTGCCGGTCCTCACGTAAGTGTTTCCTTCCTGCCACTATCAGCTCCCCAAGGCTGTCAGCTCCCCCTCTGGCTTTTTCCCCTTAGAATTAAAATCCCCGAGAAACGGGATGGTGGCCTGTTCAGCAGCACCTGGGGTCTCATGAGGGGCAAGACCAACAGAGGTTGAGTCAGGAGAAAGTCCTTCCTCAAGTGGGCCGGGGCCTCCCTGCACGGGCCAGTGGGGTCCTCGCCTCTCTTCCTGTGATGTTTGGGGCAACTTCTGAACTCTTACATCACTTCAGACTTGAAGGAAAGCTGCGGGGAGATGCACGATATGCCCTAAACCCAGACCCCCTCATGGCTTATATGCGCCCCCTTTTTCATTTGCCCCTCCGTGTTCACAAGCAGCTACGCTTGTTTCTGGCCTTCAGAGTTTCAAAAGTTGCTAGGAATTCCAGGGCGCCAGGGAGCTCCTGCCAGAGGGAGCAGGTTCCAAGTGGCTGGAGGAAAGGTACCAGAGCGGCTCACAGCCCTTGCCGTTCCTGCCCCTGAAAGTGGGGTTGGGGAGACAAGGGACCTGGAGCTGCGCCCAAGCAAGCGGATCTGAGGCTGGAGAGGACGTGAGTGGAGGGCACAGCCCACCATTTCCAAGAGCAGACGGTCCCCCAAACCAGGGCTTGGCTCCAACCCAACCTCTCCTGAACCCCAGGACAGCAACCCCCCAACCCCAGAGGCTTCCCCAATGGGCAGAGCTGGTCCTCAGGTGGGGGGCCCACAGATGTGTGGTAATTCAGAGGAATGGAGTCCCCCAGCTGCAGAAACTGCCCTGCCCCCTCCCTCCTGTGAATTTCAGATTCGTGACCAAAGCAACAGCAGAAAGACCCCATCCTGCTTCAGTCTCAAGGGGGACCCTTCTGCCCAACGGCGAGGTTGGGAGGATCTCGCCCACCCCACCGCTCAGCCAAGTATGAGCTCAGAATCCCAGCTGGGACCTCCCTGCAAGAAACAGGCCCAGGGCAAAACAAGCGTGGAACACAGAAGATGGACATTCACAGATTTAGGATTTATCCCAGAAGCATATCTAAGACCACCACCATGCGCCCTCAAGGAAACTGCAGAGCTTGTGGGTGCCATAGAATAGAAGGAAGATAAGGCTTCAGGGAGAGAGTAAGAGCGAAAGCAGGAAAAACTAAGAAGTTTCTGCTGCCAATTCACAAGAGATTTTTAAAAGCAGCGTCAGGGGCTTCCCTGGTGGCGCAGTGGTTGAGAGTCCGCCTGCCGATGCAGGGGACACGGGTTCGTGCCGCGGTCCGGGAAGATCCCACATGCCGCGGAGCAGCTGGGCCCGTGAGCCATGGCCACTGAGCCTGTGCGTCCAGAGCCTGTGCTCCGCAACGGGAGAGGCCACAACAGTGAGAGGCCTGTGTAGTGCAAAAAAAAAAAGCAGCGTCAGAGGCGGCGAGGCAGAAGTGA